GGGGTTAATGGCCATCAGTTCATGACAGGCTACTTGCTTAATGAGGTAATTGTCGTTAAGGGGAACCCTGCTGTGACGATCCTTAAAAATGTCAATTTTTAGAAATTTCTTGAAAAAGAAGATCATATATATTTTCAATTAATTAAAATTTCAGTCAAATGTTAAATATTATAATTTATCACTATACTTAAAATTAAAGTTAAATAATTTATACCAAATTATTGGATAAACTCACAAATAACTGTGCAAATGAAATTTTCTTCTGAATTATCCTGCAAACAATTCTGTCGATAAAATAAAATCTCTCTCGGAATATCATCACCTAAGAGTTAATTTAGTAACAGGCTGATGGAAAGTTAGCGTCAATTTATCTTGGTGCCTGGGTAACATTATAATTTCCAGCTTCAATGCTGATCCCATTGTTCCCGAAAAGGAAACTCACGAAACAAACTCCTTACGGAGTTGCGACGTCGAGGTAACGAGCTCCAGAAGCTTCTTGAATCGCTTTCCTTACCGTTCGCATAATCAGGCATCAATGATGTCCGTCAGACAATAATCGGCTGGCTTACCGTCGGTTAGCGGCTAAATCGGAAAACTTTTCGCCATCTTCGTGTCGAGCAAACGGCTACGGGAAGCTTCAACTGCTAGAACTGTCGGCAACTCGGATTACTTTTAAAGTAAGAGTACTGCCCCGGCCATCCTTCCTCTTCTTTCTTGCTCCACAGACATATCCACGATGTCTTGATAAACTTTTCACTGCCATCGAATTTTCTTCGCTTCCACGATCCCCGAGAAAACAAATGCTTTCTTCAGGAAATGGGTTGAACATCAGTTAGAAGAAACTAATTTATTTCTTTTCGGAGGATTTTCCTTTACTTATGTTCGATAACCATCATCCATTACAATTTTAATCAAATGATGCTGATAAAAATTAAGATTACAAATTTTATTTTCTCTTGAAAAATAATTTTCACCTCCGTCGCAATTTTCCCTAGAAAACCCCATGCTCTGCACTGTACTCAGCACTGTCATAAAATACCAGGGCTACGTAAGCAAACAATTCCCTAGGAGCGAAGAAAAATTTAATAGTACTTCGACGAAAGTTTCAAAGTAGTTGAACAACAGTAATCCAGAAGTTGAACAAAAATGGTCGTTCTTGCAGCATGCAAGTGTAACTTTCTCCGAAAGAGCCAACGGTACCTGATTGTTTTACGAGAACATTATTGCAAGGCAACAGTTAATTCTCTGGTAGATAGTTGAGACAGCCTTATCGACGAGGGTGCGGTTCACGCGTTCACAATTAGGAGTACTGGGATTCGCAATTAGCGCTTGCCTGGCGTTCATACTCGACTAGGCCGTTAACATTCCCTCGGTACAATGCTTCCATCCGGGATACATCCAGCCTGGTGTGTATACTTATGTAGGTGAAAATGGTGGCACGTTTTCAACGTTGGATGCTAATTCCGTGACAGAGACAGGGAGCTACCTTAGAGCGTCGTTGCATTCCAGCCAGTTTTATGAAAATGGAGCTGACACACGCATGAAGGAACCTTCGTTTCGAACGGTGAGTCCCTCGCTCGCTCCGTTCGCTTCCGCGATTTCATGAAATTGCAATTTAAAATCGTGGAGCGGCTCGAACGCGGACGTAGCTGGAGCGTGAACGGGACAAAGTCGCGTTTGAATAATGAAAAGAGAACGATCAGATGCATGGAAAACGACGACGTCCAAAGGCAGAGACGCCGCGACGTCATTTCTTCGTCCACTTTCATATTCGTCTGAATATTAACAGAGGAAATCTTTTCCGGATGGTGTATTATAGATCAACTGCCACCATTTCGTCTCTTCTCCTTTTCTATATTTCTTTTTTTATCCTTTTAATTTCCGTCAGCCGTGTTGCTAAGTAATCTTCAGGTAAATAAAATATTTTTTCAAGAGATAATTAAATTTGCGCCAAGTCTGCCCCTTAATAGAAACTATACCTACCTTAAAATCGAGTAATGACCCAAAATTTGCCTGAATTAATTCAGCAGAATCTAAAAGTTTCAAAAGTTAAAAATAATCAGCGTGTAACTGAATGTAATGTATCCTTATCTAAACGTGGTAATTAAATTACAATTAAGCAATCATTATTCTAACCAGCAATTAATTGAAAACCTAGATATACAATACCGGTGGAATCATCGGTCGAACAGCGTTAACGTGCAGTAGGACTAGCGCTAATTGCGTTCGCGTTTCTCTTAATTACGAACGGTGGCTGTCCAATGGTCGAAACAGCTGTGCTGCTGCGACAACTAGATGGTCCCTAAGCAAAATTAACGATAGCAATTACGCAAAAATGGTACGCGCGTATATGGTACCGACGGTATTGTTTTTACTGTTTCATTTTCTCTGTATACACGTGCTACCAAGATTAATTTTCTCTTCCGTTTCTTTTTTTTTTTTTTCAATAAATTCTACTACTCACCAGAGGCGAAGGAGAATTTATTGACCAATAAAGATAACAATTTCTCTGTCGGTACTGAAACATTCCCTAATGAGAGTTTGCAATGTTTATCGAAGAGTATCGGTATACGATAAGAGTTACACTTAATTGTGCCCTACGGTTGTTGCGAGTGGGAGGTGCACTTCAATCGACTCAGGCATGAATTGCGAATGCAAGTACAATTAGCGGCATTAATGATGTCGTGTTTATACACGTAATTTATTCGCCGCATATTAGTACAAGATGGCGGCTATCCCTTCCATTTCTACGTCTCTGCCATTCGTTTATCGAATCACCGATAGAAACTGAACGTCAATCAAATTGATTGGTACTGAATGAGAATACCTATTTCACGAGAACAGTTAATTAAATGGAGTTACTTTATCCGAACCAAACGTTTAAAGTGCAGGTATAATTAAGGTTGAATCGATAGACATACTTGCACAATGGATCGTCTACATTAATTATTAATTACAGGGGAACATTTTGAGAGGTCATTTTCGAACGCAGCAGCTTTTGTTCCATTTTAGTCAAACGAACCATTATTACACGTTTTCATTTAAACCTGACGTTTAATTGCGCCAAAAATAATATTATATTATTATTGCTGCAATATCAAATTCTTTTACTGAATTAGTCAGAAATGTCGGCAGGACCGGATTATGATTTTTGGGGTCCCAAATGAAATTCCCTTTGGTTCAAAAATGATGTAATAGTAAAGAGAAAATGTAATAGTATTATTGACGAATCAATTGTTTCCGACTGTATACACGAAGAATGTTAGTACAGCAACCAGTTACATGCGGCCACCGCTAATTGTGCCCCTAATTGTAAACACAAGTTGTGCCAGCGAGAAACGCATTGACCATGAGTGAAACTCGATCCATGGCTGACCAAGGAATCCTCTTGCGGTAAATCTAACCCCTGAAATTTGTCCCATTATCGAAGGGGATCGTCATTAACGGCCACAGTTTCCGGTGAATTCTACTGTTGAAACGGTCGTTGACCCCCCGGGACACGTTTTCCTATACAAACCTGTAAACCGAGGGTTTGCTGCCAGCTATATTTGATATGTCACAGACGCAACACTTCATTAATACCTCAGAAATATTTTTATTATTAAATTTAGGTAAAACACAAAGAGAATTAAAATAATTATACAGGTTGATTCATAAAGAATATCATTAGCTTATCTTTCAAGGGAAGCTTAAATAATTAGTTATTTATATTTTCCACTGTCTATAGTCTTGACCACGATGTCGCTTATTCAGAATCCAACTGTTTCTATAATTTGCTGAAAAATAAATAACCCTAGAAAATAGCGATTTATAACAGAGCCAATACACGTATTTCATTTTCGTTTCACTTTGAACATCCTTGCACGCTAGAGCGGTCTATAAATTGCCATCAGCCGGTAATTACACCGGACAAGAAGATGTAAGGCTCCATTTAAATCGGCCATCGAATTGAAATTTATCATGGCGCAACGGTCAGGATTAACTGTAAACAGTAACGTTGTGGACACGCGTTGATTTTGTCTTTACATAATTCTTCGATAACTGCCTTTAGCCGCAGGCCTTTTCCTGTCGATTAACATTCTTGCGTGGAATTTAATAACGAGCAGTTGCGAAATCGTTGATGCAAATGAAATTGAGTAAACTCGTAAGGAAATTAATTTGAATGAAATTCTTCGTTCGTCCACCCTGTACATTTAACTACCTTGAAATAATTTATTGACGGAAAATTTAATTCCCAGACACTTCTGATACCTTTTCGCGTCGTTTGATGGCTATACAAGTTATCTCGAGATGTTTTTAAAATGGATTAAAAGTAAGCGAGAGGGGTATAATGAAGAAGCTCGTTCCAGGTGTTCCGGGCATAAAAATAATTCCTCTAATTGCACGATAAGGAAAGTTAATTATTCTCCAGCGTCTTCTGGTAACTTCCTACAGCTTCTTCGACTGAAACTTTCCTCGGGATGCGTTTAAAAGTTTCTGAACGGTTTAGTTTATTTTACGTTCATTGTCACGAAGTCAGCAACCTAGAATCGTCGACGATTATTCATTAATAATAAGATGTATAATCTTCGAGTTGTTAAAAAATTTTATGGTACCCTTCGTTTAACTATTCCCAGTGAATTTGATCAACTGGCTGACTTCGAATGGAAAGGGACAATGACGAAGGCACACTTGACAGTCTAACTCGGTTGTAGCCCCACGACCATGTCGGAGACTTTGAATTGTTAATTCTGATTACCTTCGCGCCCCTTCCACTTGTCTAATGTACCGCCATTTATGTCGGAGTTGAGTCACGTCTCGGGGTTTCAGGGCTGTTACCGTCATTTCCGGGGAGTCGTTAACGCCCTTCGTTGCAGCCAGCTCTTCGTACATCCTGCGATTCCTCTCTATCTCTGCTGTAGCAAAAAGTAATCTGTTTTACTATTCAACATACGATACGTAACGTTTAATCTTTTTATCTCGTTTTTATTTCTAATCATTTGTACGATTATTTGTTTCAGTTACTGCAAATCATCCACCTCAGAGACCATGGATACCTTTGACGAGACCGAACAGGACGAGACCGACATGTAAGTAGTACAGAGTGTAGGCGTTTAGTGGAGGGGGAGAAGGGTTTCGGCTCCTCGGGCGCCTTTGGTTCGGGCTGGGACCGCTAGGTGGCGGCGAGAAGATCGGTGGATCAGCGTTCTCGCTAGCAGTCGCCCAGCACGCAGTTCAAATTGCAGTATGATGGGTGTCTGGGCCCACTGACGAGACGGAAACGCCTTTTTCTCCCCTCTCCTCCTTTACTATATTTAAATGCTTTAGAAAACAGTTATTAAAGTCTCTCTTAAGCCTCGCCTCTTATGGATCCCCCTATAGGGTAATAAAATTCTAATGCTCGTACACAGACAATAATGTGTTTCCGCCTTAATGTTAAACGAGCATCAAAGTAACGTCGTAAAACGAAATAAGCATATTAACTTGCGTGTTGAAAAGAAAGCAATAGAGCAAAGACTAACAGCACGGTCTAATGAAGGCGTGATAATCCGCGATGAAATTACAGAAATATCTGAGGGTGCCGAGGCGGAAATGCCTGAAGGGGAAACCATATTACGGAGGATAAGGCGGGAACATTAATAAATTTGCCTCGAGTCAAAGTATAATAAAATAGTCTCAACGACCACCTTGACCGGTGGACAAGCAATTACTTTTTCTTTTCTCGTTATATACTTTGTTCCAAAAATTTTGACCTCACAAATTTTACTCGAGATATCTTTATTCTACAATATTTATAATCGTGCTATATTTCTGTCAAGACTATACAGCCCTAAAACGAAGCTCGAGTTCGCCTCGAGCGCATAAATTTTATCATTTTTTTCACATTTGATATAACCGCGCTATATCTTCGAACCGGACTATACCCGTGGTCGTTTTTTCGTTTCGGTCTGGAAACGCGTGGAATTATTTGAAATCCATTGGTGGCCGTAAATCGGTACGTGCAACAACGCGAAATGGGACTAACGACTGTGCCAGCAGGACCGTGCAAATTACTTCTTGCACTTCTCGCGACAACCCTGACAATCATAATCATTATGGGACGTCCACGGGGATGAGCGTCCGTGTTGCTTGAATTCTTTGACAGCCAGCAATTATGCGTCGTTGTCGTTCCAACGTTTGTAACGTTACAATCAGACACTTATTAGAATCGTCGTTGCCGTGCACGCGTTCATTACTCTTGTCCCATTCGTCGTTGTTAGAATTTCATTAATAATTATAATTTCTTATTGTGCTGTTACTTTCTTCCTGCATGGTCATTCTGGTCACTTTTAGATGAAATTATACGTTACTTTCATAGTGAGTATATTTTTAAAAAAAAGACCTTTTTAATAATTAATTTAACCTTTCCACAAAGGAATCTGAGAATATTATCAAATAAATATTTCATTTGGCCTATAAAATAAATACTTCAACATACTCAAGGAAATAGTTTCTGAAAATATTTTTATTATTTATTTTAATAGAATAACATATTTCTGTAATTTTATTTTAACGATCTCAGGAAACTGATAAGGATGCAAAAAATCGTATAAATTAAACCCATCCAGAACACGTTAAACACGGTGAAGATGGTGACAAGGATGCGTGTAACTATCATTATCACCATTCCGTTTCCGATGGAGTTCATTTAAAAATCTTTCAGTGATACGTTATCGCGACAATAAATAGTCACGGGTGAGTTGTTACTTTTACTACCAAAGCCAGTTTATAAAACGAGTTCGCGAATGAAGAAGGAAACAGAAGGTGAAAATCATGGGAAAACAGCTGCAATAAAATACACATTTATAATAAACAAAATTTCGATTGTAATTTGAAAGATTCATTTCGTTAATTACTCGATAAGCCTGTTTTATAAAATTCAAGAGAATTAAACAATCATATCGCTAATTGTAAATTTCAGTTTAATTTATTGTCGGCTGCAAATGGAAGATGGAGAATTATTTATACCTTCATTGTTAAAATCAGTATCAAAATTATTGTCGATGAAACACTATGTAATTCAGTGCGTAATATGGATTACTCGAAATGACGTTTCTATAACTTTTCGATACAATGTGACAGGACCTGTCAGCACTGTTTAATAACTAACGAATATTGAAACGATTTTATGGAGAAACGTATTGCGATGCTTATTATCAGAACATATTTATCAATAATTAAATTCTCTGAGGGATTACTGAATAAATACACAAGACATTTTATGTTTTAGCGAATCGTGACTTTTCTTAACCTGGCTATTATTTATTTTCAACATTTTTAATGGGATTTGCCATAAAAGTAATTCTTTATTAAGGGTGAGAAATAAAAAACAGAAAAACTTTCTTTGAATGTTTTTCAAGTGAATTTCAGTTAGTTTTCGAAGCATTTGTAAGTCAACACTTGCACCACATCTTGAATGCAGAAATTCAATCAGAGGATAATAATCGCCTCTGAATACTATCTAAATGACTACCATAAATGCCCTCGTGCAAGCTATCGTGAATTAAGTAACCTGTTTGAATTTCCACAGACTGGTTTTGCCACTGTTGAGACAAGCTATGGCATTGGTGACCTCGAAAATTCCATTTCTAACCATGAATGAAACGTTTCCACGATTCTTGTTGCTACCATTGACAACTATTTTCTATTATATAAACGATCGTGGATTGAATATAATCCATTATTAGATCGTTTCATAATATCCGCTGGACTTTGATCGTTCATTTTGATTGACGACAATTTCACTTGCAAACAAATTACTCTAAATACCCCTGTGACGTTTTAATAAGCATTTGCAGGTTGATAAATCATGCTACAGTAGGATTCAATAATTAGGCATACTTTAGCAATACCAGATTATTGAAATATATTCGTAATAGTATAAAAATGAAGGAAATGATTAAAACCTGATAGTTACAGAAAATGGAACGAATTTTTCCCGGAATCCTCCACCGATGTACAGCATCCGCTTCGCGAAAGGAGACGGAAGGTCTCCATAATCTTCCTCGAACTAGGTTCTCCACCTTAAGCAGGTTGTTAACACGACTTGAACAACTGCTTCAGATTCGTCGACGCGATCGTGTTAAGAGGGCATTATTCGGACCCGATGTTGCGTGAGATATGCGCCATTAATGGGCGTCGCGTCGTCGTTTCCCCTGTAATCCTGGTTCGAGGATGAAGACAATGACGGGCGCACTCATAGATGCTATAACCTTATCGCTCGTAAGGAAGATCTTCCTCTTTCTTAGGTATATCCATCCGAGGAGCCGTTCTTTCGAGCCGCTTGAATATTCTGCGCGGTCGCGGCGTCGTAAGCGATTCAAATCGAGCCACATAAAGAAAACGAGTGTGTACGTACGTGCTTCGGAGGTGTACCGAGGAAACGTCTCATCGATGGAATTCCAAGCACGAAGGGGAAAGGAAGGAAGCGTTTCCAGTTCCATTCAAAGTCGACCCTGTCGACATGATATTTTGCTTAACAAGCATCGACGACCACGATTTCGATAGGATTCGCGGGCAGAAAACATACCGATTTATTTGGAATTGTTGGGAGGAAAATATGATAGGGGATTCGTGCAGAGTTGTCATGTACAGTGTTGAGCATGGGAGACTTTCTTAGGGAAAAGTGGCGCTGTAGGTGAAGGTCCTTCCATATTTAAGAATTAATTAATTCATCCTTCGTAATTAGGTCTAAATGTTAAAGCTTCGCTCATTAGATACCCTTTGAACATGTATGAAACTATTTCCACTGTCGCATCAGGCACAAAATAACAAATCTGATTTCTGCGCATGCTGGATGTACAAGAAGCATCCAGTAATTCGATGTCGTGCTTCAGCTAAGATGGGCTGCATTTTGTCTGGGATTTATTCAGACAGAAGCACGACGTCGGAAAGGCAGCTCGCTTTTATGTTGATCTTCTTATCCTGACGTGGCTCGTAATGTTGTTCCTGAATGTGTCTATGCTTGCTACGAGCGTCTGTTCCTATTTACCAGGAAGCAAGAGAAATTAGAGTAATAGTGATCCTAGAAGAAAATTCTTGAAAAGTAGCTAACAGATCTAATAAAAATCTAAGTTAATTTTTATAAAATTGAAAAAATTATTATAAATATTTATTCTTTAGAACCTTTAAAATTATAAAAAAAAAATATAATAAATTCTGGGTCAGTGGTATAGGGTCCTGTACAATCAAAAAGGTCAGAAAATTAATTAGACGTGACAGATATGTTCGTTACTTGTTTTATTCATCCTTATTCTTTGTACAATAAAATAGAAATGTCTAAGTTAAGATTTCTCTAAATTTTCCCAAATCAGACAACTGATGAAATTCCCCATTGCCCTGTAGTGTACACAGAACGTTTCTCTGCTGTTGCAGGTATATTCACGGTAATGTGTTACAACGTGCTGTGCGACAAGTACGCGACGCGGCAAATGTACGGTTATTGTCCGAGCTGGGCGCTCGATTGGGAATATCGGAAAAAGGGAATCCTCGATGAGATACGACATTACGCGGCGGACATCATCAGCCTGCAGGAGGTCGAGACGGACCAATTCTACAACTTCTTCCTGCCGGAGCTGAAGCAGGATGGTTACGATGGAATTTTTTCGCCGAAATCCCGGGCGAAGACGATGGCTGAGAACGATCGAAAATACGTGGATGGCTGCGCTATTTTTTATAGGACGGCAAAGTAAGTGGGTCTTCGTGTCTTTACATATCAAATTCCTGAATTAACGTTTGAAAATTCATCCTGATAAATTTCTCGTCCAACGATACACGCGTATCGGTAGATTTACGAACGAAATGTTTTCATTATCCTCGGTTTATTGCTTTCGAACGGAGACACGCGAGCGCACAGATGGGCTCTAACGCGCGTCACATTGATCATACGCGTACTTTATCGTTTTCGAAGGATATCTATTCCGGGCAATGCTTATTTTCAGTGTATCACGACATAATGGCAGCCAAACGACGTTACCTTGCCTGGATGCATGAAATTATCGAACGGGTAAGGACGATTAATGTACCGTATGCACAGGTCGTAGAGACATAACGGGTCCTTTATGGCCGGCGCGATAAATATTCGACCGAACAAATGACAATATTAAGATAGGCCAATTGATAGCCCCACTTGCTGTCTATGTGTAATCAGTTTATTCACGTAATTTCAAGAATTATTGTTTCCCTCGTAATCCGTTCGCTTATGTCGGCCATGTTGTATAGGAGCAATTCTAACCTCAACGCTGTGCACAAATAGAGATGTTACTAAGCCTAGGGATGATCTAGTAACTTTAGTGCAATACTGTTTGCACTTGGTGTAAAGCAAGTATAACTTCTTAATTCTAGGGAACCCTATATCTGTTCATTCTAGGGAACCCTATATCTGTTCATTCTAGGGAACCCTATATCTGTTCATTCTAGGGAACCCTATACCTGTTCATTCTAGGGAACCCTAGCATTCATAACTGCTACAAAATATAATTAATGAATATTAAGATTTAATGAAAAGAAAAAGATATTCTAAGAAAAGAGAAGATCCCTTCTAATTATTAACTAACATCTTTTATTTCAATCCAGATACTTTTCCAACCCGTATCATCTCTTCGTACAGAACTTCTCTATTAGTTCACAAAAGTGGCTGCGAGGTAATACGAGTGTTTGGCGAACGAACGCGTGGAAACTTCAGCGAAAAATGATCCGAGTTAGCCGAAGCGTGGTCGGAAGTGTCGATACTTCTGATCCCCTGCAAACTGAAGATTCTACAGTATAAGATCGCACCGGTCACCTCCGGCATCTTGTATCAGAAAAGTTTCTTCTCTTTCGTGAAACTTGCACCAAGCCGCGTGAGAACGCGAAACTTTGAAACTATGAAACTATTATAACCTTACCAACTGCATAGAGGTTGTCATTGACAATTGTTCGAAGAACGACCAACCTTATTCCCGAAAGGTGTTTAATCCTTTCACTCAGAAAAATTCCAATTGTTTGATAAATAATGTTTCGGTGTTCGAATACTTCGAAACTTTTCTTCAGTACTCGAGTGGGATTTGCGAGGACGTATTCAACCTGATTCCATCTCCATTGACGATAGTAAACTCGTAGCAAGATCTACTCTTCAGATCGCTAGTAATTCCCTGGATGCACGATTTGCATGTTGAAAGTCAGCCGGTTGAATTGATTAAAACTCGTTCGCCTCATTGCTAACCACGGTATCTCTTTGAACGAGGGGTCGGACCAAGGTACAATCAGTCGTTTGGGTAAGATATCCTTATTGATTCGACTAACAAAGTTCCCTCGTTTACAGTGTCACGAAATATCAGTCCAACAATTATAACGAAGATCAGGAAATAAGGTGTCTATCATCCTGCAACCCCCACCATTGCTCAATAGTAGCAAATTTTTCAATTCAAAGATTTTTATTATATTTTTATTATACATTTTTAAAAATTAGATTTAGGGGCCTTTGGGTACATGCCTCCTCGTGGATGGGGCAACTTCGCCCTCCTTCAAAGGCGGTACTGAATATGCTATCAATATTTCCCTGCGCTATTATAGATCTTGAACAGACAGAAAATAAATCCCACGAGACGTCAGAAGTGGTAGAGGTAGACCATACATCGGCCTTCTTAATTATCTCGGTAGCGAGTTTTAGTTGGAAGTATTATAGCATATCGTAGGTCGGCACTAACTCGGCGAAGCTCATTCCGAGTTTTGTAACCCAAGTCCGAGAGCGTCGTGGAAATATTAGATATCCGCGCTCGCATCTCACGGGATAACAAGATACCAGACAGACATGGTCCTGTTGCACAAATGGCCTCTGTTAACGGCTAACGTTGCTATGGGAGCTACTATATCCAGAGTGGACTATAAAGAGCGCTGGGCTTCTTTAAACGGCAGCCACGCAACCGCCGGCCATTTTATGCCACTCGGTTCGCCGCAAAATCGCGTAATGAACGCGATCCCAATGGCGGACTAACGACCTAATCTCAAAACGACCGTTGTTGTCTAACGAATGCGTGTTAGCATGATAGGAATAAAATACAGACCTCTGCTTTATTACTATTTGGCCCACTCCGTAAAATGTAGACTTTTGCCATATTAACATTTGACTCCCCCCTCCCCTCAAAAGCTAACTGGGACTAATTGGGCCCAAAAAGTGGAGAACACTTTTACCCTATTTCGATTTGTTTACCTGGACCGAATTTTTATTCTCGTCAAAGTATTTATGCAATCAGTGCACGACATCTGTTGAGTAACTGCGGGTGACGTTGATTCAATCTTGTTTACGGGTTCAGGGACGTAAGGGGGATGATGGCTCGTAATGGGGATTCGGTGAAGAATATATTTCCCAACTATACGTGCCACACATATCGGAAAGGGAAGCCTGTATTCTACATGGCGTACGTGATACGCCTTCGTACGAGTTTCCCGACGAAAATCATCCAACTATCGTATCCAAGTCGCGAAGTTTCTTTCCCGCTCGGGCGAAATTGAGTCTTGCCGAGCGGCTAGACGAGAACCGCTTGCGCAGGACTAACAGAGATTCAGGAAGGAGAAACGATCCACTCCGGCCCTTGACTTTCTAATCCGTTGAAATAACTGGTATGTCTATGACGATTCTCTGATCTGTCTGTTTCTTCTTGTTCCATCCACAGGTTTACTCTGATCAAGGAGCATTTAGTCGAATTCAATCAACTGGCTATGGCGAACGCGGAGGGCTCGGATAATATGCTGAACAGAGTGATGCCAAAGGATAATATCGGATTGGCTGCTTTGCTTAGGACGAAGGAGGCTGCTTGGGACAATGGTGAGTGGTCAGACGAATTTATTTATACTGATAAACAGGAAGGGATTGAGATTTCTGGGACCCGAGGCTATCAGACCTTCGAGAGCCCAAGGTTGTAGTCCTCCTTAGACTTCCCCCAGGCAAAAATACCAATGTAGGTCTGGTTTATGTATAATATAGCTGTTGTAGAGCTGTCCGGAACACATCATAGAGCGATACATTAATTTTCTGGTTTCCGCAAGATCGATTCGTTCGCGAAACCAATTGCCACCATTAATCACGTGGTGGCATGGTACGGTGCCATCTATCAGTTGCCCGGCCTACTAACGTATCGGATTGAATCTACAAGAACGAATCTCACGTTTCAATAACGTTACCCTTCAAGTATCGTAACAAGAAGATCGTTGGAAAATAATATAATCTTCTGGCGTAGAATGTGCATATTAAGGAGGGTAGCGACACACGATCGCGATGCGGACGCGTTTAAATTGCTAAACCAGTCAACGAAATGGACCTAGCTGGCGTGTTCGGTATCGAAGCGACTGCTTAATTAATTGCGAGCGATGCTCGTCCTAGCGTAAATCGAAGAGCGAGCTTCGAGGTGCCTGAAGGAGATGAAGTGGCGAGAGTTCGTAGACCAGATATACGTGAGCAGACTTATAATTCATGGCACAGGGACGGCATAGCTGCCAATCCTATCTCCGACAGTCATCTACCAAGCCTCGTCCCCCTACGTGTCACACGATCCACATTTTTTTTTTTTTCTCTTCTCTTTTTTAATGAGCATATTAGCTACCAACCAGAGAGCATCTCAAAATGCAGCCACGCGTATGTGTTACATGAGCCTCTGGCTTTATACATGCTCCCGTTTCCCTGTTATTCCTTTTATGTGTCCATCAATAGCTACTCTTCTACATCCTCTCTCTGCAAAGTTGACTTATCAATATCAATGTATCTTCTGATTTCTACAACCATCATACCTTTACTAAATTTTTATAGAATTTAGAATTTTTATAAACAAGGATTTTGGTAAAATTTTTAATATAATTTATGGTAGAGCCACAATTTTAATTTTATTTTCTGTTTTATACTTTTATAAGGGTTAACCCTTGAACAGAGCGAATTTACAAAATATATATATAAGAATATTAAACTAACAAATATAATAGAAGAATTAAAATTGGGGCTCTCTTCATGGTCCGTGCTCCGAGGGTTAATTTATTTTATATAGTACGACAAATGGAGTCCTTACTGAGAAGACCCCTCAAGTTATTATTATAATAAATACACCCGCCTTCTAGTGGTTACACTATATTTGAAATTCCTGTCGGCTGTGTGCAGCGAGACGTTGAAAATCTCGTCGGGTCGGAAATGCGCTTTGAAAATCCGAGGGTAGATGAAAGAACGCATAAAGATTTATGGGGAGGGATCGCATGATACTCGTGACGTTTCGTTAACGTACTAATTAATTATCCTTCCTCCCTCGTCATTTTTCCTGTTTCCTTACTGTCTATGACTTTGGCGTATTGATCGAGCGAAGGGCGACTTCTGTGTACAACATACGGGATAATTAACCGCCCTTTGCGTATGACGTTGAATAAATAACAAGGAAATACATTTAACCCGAAAATTGTAATCGGTACGAAATGAACCAGATTACTGAAACAATTTTATAATTAAAATTTTGCTTTATTTTATTCGTGAACAGTTCGAGATATAATACAAAAGAAAAGAGAATTGCAAGAAGAAGAGGTTTTAAGTTAGGCTCCTCCTAGGCTTTCCGGGGATCCCCCTATTTTTTCCTAGGCTCTCCAGGGATCTCCCCGTCTCTCCCCAGATTTTCTCAGAATGCTTTCAAGATTAAAGGCAAAAAACGATGGGAAGCTCTTCTCTCCATCAAAAGAAGCCTATTTTGCACCCAAGTGTACCCTGTATTGATAGGATTATTAAAATCCATTGAACTTAAAAATCAGGCATCAAGGTTCTAGGTATCAATGTTACCTTTCAGTACACGTGCGTGTACGTTATCATACATTAAGTTGCCACTGGTAGGTAAACCGGTTCATCTTGTAGCAAATCAAAGGAATCAGAGGCACATGTAGTACAGAATACACTGCGATTTCTTATTATAAATCCTTTCTAAAGATCATTATATCTGATAGAACCAAGAAGGTTCCTTGAGGGACTGGTACAAGTTGTACATGAGATGAAACAAATTTTGTGCCATGATTATTATAAATGTATTTTATTTGCTAAGAAATTCATACAGTAATACTTATAATAGCATTAAATGTTTATTATAATTTTTCTCTGTTATTGATTTTGCAAATCATTTTTGATTTAGTTTATGATAATCAATGATTTTGTTCTTCTTCCTTGACGAAGATGTCGCTGAATGTCTCTTCCAATGTAACGCCAACGCATGCGTGGCTCCATATTTATCTGAACTGCGCCGCTATGCGGCCTCTGTAAAAATAGGAGTGTTAATTAATAAGTTGTTGTCATTAACAAGGGCGAAATACTTCAATCTGTGGAAATATAAACATTACGAAAATGTCTGATTATAGAAATCAGCAAAATTATTGGGGGCAAGCTGCACCTCCGCCCAACTACAATTTCGATAGCTCTGGTTTTGGCCAACCTAACCAACAATTTGAATTTCAAACATACAATGATCAGCAATCTGTAAATTATTCGTCTTATACCCAGAAAAGCTTTCTTGATCCCACTGAAAGTGTATACACTGGTGATATGTTCGGTCAGGATAATTTTCCAAAAGGTATATGATCAAAAGAAATGAACATAATCATATGTTAGACAATGACTGTTATTATTTTGAATATGGAATTGTAGGTCCAGCTGGATTTGGCGATACGGAAGAAGAACCACCGCTCCTAGAAGAATTAGGCATAAATCCTGATAGAATATTAAGAAAAACATTAGCTGTATTAAATCCATTTCATAGGAGTGGACAGATCGATGATGCAAGTTATTTGCTTCAAGATTCTGATCTAGCTGGTCCAGTAGCAAATTGCTTACTCCTCGCTGCCTTTCTCCTGTTAGCTGGTTCTAAAGCACATTTTGGTTATGTTTATGGTTTAGCCATGACATCTTGTATATTAATGTATATTCTTCTGTCATTAATGACCAGTACCAGTAATATTACATTGTCTTCGGTAGCATCTGTATTAGGTTATTGTTTATTACCTGTAGTAGCACTTGCAGGATTCAGTGTCTTTTCATCTTTGCAAGGTGCAGCTGGTTTGGTTCTAGCTGTGCTGACAGTCACATGGGCAACACTTTCTGCATCTAGACTCTTTTGTACTATGTCAGGAGAAAAAAATCAGCGTCTTCTTATTGCTTATCCTTGTGTTCTTCTTTATGGTGTTTTCACATTAATAGTAATATTCTAAAAGCAATTGGTTCTACTTGAATACTTTTCATACAAAAATTTCAATTTTCGAAATATTTATTGCAAAACAGTTGGTGTTTTACAAAAATTCTTCCCATGTGAAAAATTGTATACCACATCTTATAAAATGCAATATACAATAATGTATTATTGTTATCTTCAATTTAAAATTTTTATCATCATGTTATTGATACAATGTTAATCATCATCAACATTGATTTATATGTGAAGGCTATTTATTTATATCAGATTTTAGACATTCTTGTGTGTAATATTAATTTACATTATGGATAATATGATTTATATTTAATTATAATATCTTTAAGTATATTGTATCAATATGATATATTTGATTATTCTATATAGATTGTAAATAAATTGCATTTTAATAAATAATACCCTCTATTTGATCTAATAACGTATCCTTGATAATAAAAATGGAGGATATTTAAATCGATCGATGAAAATATCTTTGAACCTAAGTTTACAGTTTCCATGCAATTGAGACAGATTAAATTAAGTAGGAAAAATAAAATGGCGCCGGATGGAGCACCATGTGATGCATCTGACGGTACCGGAAGTGAGGACATTTCAAAAATTTCAAAGCCACTTCGATTGGTGTATAATACAATAAAATACACAAATATAATTTTATTTTTTTTTAAATAAAATTTTGAATTTTTTTCAGGCCTTCCATCTGATCCAGCACAGGTTCAACAACCAATTTTAGTTTGCACAGCGCATATTCATTGGGATCCAGAATTTTGCGATGTGAAATTAATACAAACAATGATGCTCAGCAATGAATTACGTTCCATTTTGGACCAAGCTGGCCAGTCTTTTAGACCTGGCCATAAACCTGACTCTTCCAATGTTCAGTTATTACTTTGTGGTGACTTCAATTCCCTACCTGATTCTGGTAAAGAGATACATTTCATTTACTTTTATTATAAATTTATTATAAAATATAACAAACGTTTGTATTTATTCTGATGTAGGTGTAATTGAATTTCTTACATCGGGACGAGTAGCGGCCGATCACCGCGATTTTAAAGACTTAGCTTATAAATCATGCTTACAAAAGATCTCTGGTTGCGATAAACCTAATGAATTTACTCATTCTTTTAAACTTGCATCTGCGTATAGTGAAGACATCATGCCCTATACTAACTATACGTAAGTTTAATCGATTCAATATTCCATTAATATATTAGATAAAATACTTATTTTTATATTCTCTTTCACAGATTCGAATTCAAAGGCATAATAGATTACATTTTCTATTCGAAACAAAGTATGGTACCATTAGGACTTTTGGGTCCTCTAAGTGCAGATTGGTTCAAAGATCATAAGGTGGTTGGATGTCCGCATCCACATGTTCCATCCGGTAAGTTGAGTTTCTTAAAATTTTAATAGTTCTTTCCATAATAAGTTCACCTTCGTGTTTATTGTAGTTATACAAAAATAAATTCCTCTTTTTTATATAAGAGTTTGTAGGCGTTTAGTGGAAAGGGAGGGCGGTGAGTCTCCCCGGACGCCGTTAGCTTGGGCCGGAGACCGCCAGATGGCCTATTCACAGATTGATCTATTCTCGCTAGCGGTCGCCCGGCATGCGATTCGAATATATTGGAGTTCGAAAAAGTGGTGTTATAGGCGTCTGGGGCAGGGATCGTCTGTCGTCAACCCCACTGACGAGTCTGGCAGACGATCCCCAGACGAAACGCCTTTTTCTCCCCCCTATAAGTTTCATCTTCCATCAACTGTATCGATTATTAGCTTCCAAATATTAGGAGTGGGTTTTCTAATTAAATTTGTCGTCTTATTTTAGATCATTTTCCTCTGTTAGTGGAACTTGAAATGACACCAACAGTAGGAACAAGCAATGGACTGATCTCACGCAGGTAGCAGCTGCTGCGATCTAGGCCCAAGTAACTATAAGGGAATAATAAATGATAATAAAAATGAAATCCCCATCACATTTTCTCTTACTTCTGGCTCTAGCAATATCACTCGCAGTCGACAACTATTTCAATAGCAAATGTTATAAATACTCCATATTACCGCACATTCAAACAAAAGCTATCAAATATCGATGAATAATTCTAATGACCAGGTGAAGGGAGCTGTGTTGTAATGCGTTTAGCCCATGTATAGTGTATTGCATTTTTAAGAATTAACTTTCCCCCATATTAAGAGTATTTTAACTTCTACTACCATCGTAATATGTAGATACCTATTTTCCTACAAAAAGATATTCCGATCAAGCCTCTGTGATATTGACATTAACAATTGGAACAACTTCACATATTTATCAAGAAATTAGTGTCTACTAGAAAAAAAAAAAAAATCCTAATCTCTTCCTAAATGTCATTACAACATTCTCCAAGCCAACTTTTTGATAAGAATGCTGCCATCCAACGAGAAATTGTATTTTTAAACAAAACAAAAACAAAAAATACGAAAACATACACGCTATACTGGGCTGTGCGAAGTGATTGGAGTTGACTTAACAATTTCAATGCAAGTACAAATCTGTTCTTATTGGCCACGTATATTGATAATGATAATGTTATATAAGGAAATAGATGATATTGTAGCGAGTGTATTTGTAAGTATGGTAATGTAATGATATTCATCATTCATAGTATCTTGGAAAAATCAATGGACATTCACTCATTAAATGTTCAGTTCCAATTATTAATATATACCATACTAATTCACTACTTGGTAATTCAGTTGAATTCAATTTGTATATGCTGCAATATTTCTTTTATGTTTATCCCTCTATCGTGTACTTATTCTTTAATCACATGTACATTTATGTCAGTGTATTTTCTTTCATTTTTATTAAGTTTCCGTTTAACAAATTTCATTATACATAATAATCTCAACCGAGAATGTAAGATACATTTTCCAGCATCGTTTCAAATTTATTATTATTCAAATTTTATATCTGAATAATATATATGTAGTAATAGTTTGTTGTATAATAATTAGTTTCATTTTTCTAATTGATCCGCACTCGATATGTATATTTTTTTTTAATTTTGTAAATATTAGATTTTTTTTTTCTTAAATGATATAAAGTTGCATTACTTATCATAGTATGTAAGCATTATTGTATTATATACTTCAAAATTGCATGCTTTTCTTATGTTTATAATTTTTTATTAAAATCGATCTAATTTCATGCATTATTTATTTTTTTTTTCTATTTCATTAGATACAAAGTAAAGCATGTATATGAAAGAAGATATTGCAATATTATAAATTATAAAGAATACTTAAGCCTGATTTTCCTTTTTAACATTTGCAATAGCTAAAACAGTGTTCCTAAACATATTTCAAACGAAACGGCACTATCAATACACTGCATAACATTCATTGTACATAATAAATGTGATAAGTGTAAAATGGGCTTGTAATCTACTTGTAATTGAAAGAAGTAACAACTGAATTATACAAGTAGTAGACAATTAGTTTATCAAAGACATATGTGTAGTAAATGTTGTATAAAGTAGATAATTACAATATAGTTTTAATTAATGGAGGTAGAAGTGGCAATCCCTATTTGTATATGCATTCATTAACAAACGCGCGGTAAGCGAACAATACATATACAAACGAGTTATTCATAAATTTGGGCCTACATTAAAATTAACAAATCGTTCATTACATTGTTTAGAAAATTGTACATTTAATTTCTTTATCACGATCTATGTTAATATCAATAGGGTATATAATGTGAAACGCTAACGTTTCATAAAACTTTTCGATAGTATCGGTGTTGGCTACTTCTAAACATATATATTTTCTTTTTCATAGAATTGAAATTCAATTATATGATAATTATTTATCATATAAAGCAACATTTTTTATGATCCAATAAAACCTTAAATAATTACTGACATTTAGGTAGTATTAAATGTTAAATTACAATTGAAAATTGTTTTCCTAAAAATACCTATGTTTTTCTGCTAAACAAAATTAATATTATTTCACTGGTTTTTTGGTAGTAAATCATTTTACAAAATCAATTTTGTATATTACGTTTCTAATATTTTCGGCATATGAAATAAATGGCACTGACGCATAAAAACGGGTTGTATTGAAATAGTACTGTTAAAGCATAGCATTTAATTATGTAGGTATTTTTTTAAGGTGTTTGTGTACAATGTTTTAATTATACTTCATCAGTAAAATATTACTGCTTATAAATTTAATTGTAATTTGAATATTTTAAGTGGACAACTATGATTTGATACACAATTATAGTTTACTTTTGGAATGTTAGAACGTGGCAAAGAACAGTAGACATTCACGTTAAATCGAACCGAAACGATTTATTTAAAGTGTCAATGAAGCAAACATTTAATACTTACTATATCTTGTTTAATTTAGGGATCTGCAAGGACTTGGATCGGGTCAGGTTAGATTCTTGTATGTAAAGTATCGGAATTTCCAAAATTTCAAGTACTAAAAGTTCGAGAAATCCCGATGTTGCGTTGCGGTACTCAATCTGACCTGAACCCTTTGCTTAGGATTTTGGGTCCTCGCAGACCCCTTGTTCTCATGCATTTTGGCTCATACAAAGCCTATGCCATAGTATTCAAGATAGCTTTGAAAAAAAACATAGAAGCTCGAGAAGATTTATGATTAATATAATACTTTAACTTAGATTTTACACATGTACCCTATTTTAAGTACAGTGGTTCTCAAAAAAAGATATATTCTTATTGAGATAAATATACTATACGCGGTATTCATTTTAATACAAATTCAGAAATCACATGTAAATTTTCGATTGACTCATTACAATAATTAAATTATGAAATACAATATGACTGTTGTTAGTCACAAATTAATATTTATCGTTTCATTTAATGAACTTGAGGACCACTGTTCCTCAACATAGTAACAGTACTTTTGCTAATATCAATTCATATAAACGCTAATGCAGAATACATTGTAAAAAGCATACAAGATTTAATCATTTTTTTATCTTAAGAACAACGTCATTTTTTTTACAAAATATACATAGCAATACTCTTAAAAAGATCTTCTGCTGTAATAAACACTTTTTTATCTCGTTCGATGAATTCTTATAAACATTGAATTATATTCATTTGCATTGTTAATGATTATAAATACATTACATTAATACTGTTGTTTTAAATGTTACATGCAGGGTATCCCAAGCTACTGGGCCAAGATATAGTTCTAAAATGGTACAAGATAGAAAGAAATGACATTAGGAAAAATTAAATGGCGTCGAATGGAGCGCTGTATGATGCATGTGTCCATACCGGAAGTGGAGGTATTTCGAAGATTTCGAAGCGTAGTTTTATTCTGTACAAAAAGGTATTGAGGTACTTGGGTCGAAAATTTATTAGTTCCAAAGATATCTTAGGGAGAGACCACCACTAGGCTCTCTCGACATTGAAATCTTCGAGACGCCTTCACTTCCGGTGTCAACACAGGCATCGGGCGATGATCCATTCGGCACCATTTAATTTTTTATTCGGATGCAACAGTATTAACATAACAAATGTGATAGAAAAGCATCTATAAAATTAAAAACAAAGACAGTTTTAATAATTTTTATAGCGTCATTCATCAACATTTTATTTTATCATGGAACGGATGTTAATTGTCAAAGATGTTTCGTATTATTTCAAAGTTGTTGGAGAACAAAAATAATATATCCCTCTAGTCAACTAGTGCTATATTATAAAGCTAGATTATTGCAGGCCTCGATTGTTTCATTCTATTTATATTTGTATAATATGATTAAAAAATAAAAAACAATTAAAATGATTTAGGAGATGAAATGGTTATACAAGTATGACAATAAATGAAGTATTTAGATAGAATAAAAGAGCTATTTAAATAAAGATTTATTTTGTACTAAGTAAATATTAGTTTCTCAAATGCTGTACCTAATAAATGATACTAATTCATTTTAATTCATTCGTACAATATACATTCATAAATATTTTGTTGATATTAATCTTATAAGGGAGTAAAAATTAATTTACGAACATGTATTGAAAAAATGATTACTTTATTTGTACTTTAATTACATAAAGATTCATTCCATATTTATAAAGATAACATAATTTAATGTCGTTTTAAATTTGCAACATTTTTATATCGATTTAATGAATTTTGCCAAATTTTATGATAAGAAGAGATAAGAATATTTCGAATTGAAAATATAAATTACTATACACACATCTAGAATTAACGAACGAAAGTATTGAATAACAAACTGTAATTAAATAATGCAATATAAGAATTCATCGAACTGTTGCAAATATCATTTGAATTATGGATTTCATATAATTCTTATTCTTTAAAAACATTTGAAATTCCATTGAACGTTTAAGTATCTTAAAAGCTCCATAATTATAATATCACTTTCGAATCCTCAATCTTCTGAGCTCCTTCGACCCATAGAAAAATTCAATCTTACTTTTAGATTAGTTAATGATAGGCAAATATTTTTACGTGATGAAACATTAATCCTGTATAATGTAAACATAATGTTCTGTTTGAAATGTTCTGTACATTAATAGTTTGAACGACGAGACATGTAGTTGATACCTGTACTTTTCTGTACTTTGTAATTCTGGGCATACCACGTAATTTAAGGGTATAACATTACATATAAATACAAAATGACACTATACACGCAATGTTAATAGAATATTATTGTTTTTTAAATTAAGGAAGACAATTTAAAGAATTTAATAATATTTAATGGCTATAATTTATGCGTATCAGAGTATAAATATATATTTATAATTAAAAGTATATCTGGAGCTAGCAATTATGTTATATAATAATAACAAGTGACACCAAAAGAATCATTTTTTAAATAATTTTTTAATATTTTAGCAAATATATATATATATTTTGTTTAGTTTATTGCACGTGATATTAGAATTTCTATTAATATTTTGGTATATTAACCAAGTATTTAATAACTAATCATTTTGATTGTAAAACATGTGTAGTACAATTATATAGGAGAATCACAATTTTGAATACATAGTCATTTTTATGTATTATGTTTTTACGAATAATCCTATTACATTAAGTAGAGACTAATATAATTAATACACGGTACATCAATTCTTAATATAATCCCAAAGATAATTTCATGAAAAATTATATTCTAATTGTTTTCCCTTACTGCCTCATAAATATATGTGATTTATTTACTTCAACGAAGTGCAATGCACAAGCAATCTTAATTATGTTCTATGCGATATTGCGTGATAGTGTCAATTTTTGACTTCCATAAACAAAAATATAATTATACTAGAATTATAATAAGACGAGCACAGCACATTTCAGCCTGTACTTTTGTAAGAACATGATTAAAAAAAAAAAAAGTTATAAACATCGGAACATAATTCTTGCGTCCGTCATAAGATTAATTACATCTCAGTGTTAATGATGTAAATTCAATCAGATTTCGTGTATGCTTTTGGAAATCTTTTATTTGCTTTATTGGAAATGTTGGAATCAAGATTTATTTTATTTCTTTGAAAATAAAAAACTGTTCGCGTTAGATTACACGTATAATTTTTTCAAAATTTGACGGAATAATGTTATGAAATTGATAAGATAATTATAATAATATATAATGTTTCTAAAATATCTGACGAATTTTTAAGTATTGGATATGTTATAAGAAATATACTTTTAAATCAGAATAATTTAAAATTCTTTTATTGAAATTTTACATGATTATACATTTTACTGGTACTTTTATACGTGAAATCTTAATTATTACAATGATTTTTCAAATTTTGATATGTTATCAATTGATTCCAAGTAGGATACGTTATATTTCGCTGATTTAATTAATTATCGATGATTCCTCGTTACCGTATATCCATTATAAATACTCAAAGATTCATTGAAAGTACAAATAGGTAGCAACACGGTCCTGATTGAATATTGGAAAAAAAGAGTTGTAAGGACAATGAAGGAGAGAATGTGTCTAGTAGGATATAAAAAAAGTTTGAATGCTCTGTCAGTCTGCACTTAAAACACCCTTTTATTTAGATATTCATCTTACAGTGACATGTAATTTAGTTTTTATTGAAAATGCAATGATTGTATATGGGCTGCGTTTGAGTCGTGATTGAATGTAACAGTTTATTAACTAACGTGAAATAAATTAAAAAGATTGCAAAAATTAACTAAGCGAATGTTTATTGTTATACAAAACAAGATCAGTCAAGTTTTGTTGTTTCTTTATAAATAAAACAGTTTGCACAATTTATTGAAAATATATACATTTTGTTGAAGGATTAAAGGTTTCTAGAATAAGCTTTAGGATTATACATTTATTTTTAATAATATAATATTATTTATTTTAAACAATGTTCAAATACTAAATTATATTATTTTGTATATAACATCATCTTTGTTTTCTGTAGATACTAATTCTAATTTCACTGGACAGTGTAACCAATAACTTAGAAGTTCTTCAGTGTAACCGATTAAAAAATATATTTTAATAGGCGTTAATCTGCGTATAATAATTCCGGCGATTCTAATCACGTTATGTTGCCGTTTGATAATTATTTCACTCAGAAAAAATCCATGCCATGTTCCTTGCATAAAACTTCGAATAAACATATCCTCAATTGCTGTTTCAGAAATTCTGTTGCCATCTTTTATACTTGCTACAAGAAAAAAGAAATACAGTACTTTCTATTAACAAATTTTAAGCTAAAGTTATTGTATAACATAGATACAGGTATTCCAAGAATTCCAAGATTTCCTAGCAGCAATTTGATATGGAGGGTTTGCCATTTCATATGTTAATGGTTGCTTTACTCTTGTTTTAGGTCTATAGTGCCCAGCTTGTGTTTTATTAAGTACTGCACTAGCATGTAAACATCTTCTTGTAATAACATTTTGATTAAGTAATATCTGCAAATGAATTGGAATGTTTATTAATACATAAGGTTATGTTGTGAATACTTACGTTTAGTACGTACATTTACAGGACGTATATAAGAGACCAAGCTCATTATATCTTTAGTTTTCCGTACAATATACAACCTAAAATTGTATTGTTAATAACAATCGTTAATTTTTTGAATGATAAACCTAATAAACAATACTCCAAAACATGACAGGAGTACCAAGCTCTTAAGATAAAATTACATTCCAGGCTTACATAATGTATACCGCAGTTCACCAGAGTCCATAACTGCGAAAAGACCAGTTTTCGTTCTTCGCGCTTCTCCAGTGCGCATCTTCGCCCTGATTGGCGATACTTCCAAACGAAGTGGAAAGCGATTAGCAGAGAGCTCGCTGCGTTCCCCCACCATCTTCCAACCTGGCGGACTCTGGTATCCCGCAGTTATGGACTCTGGTATCCCGCAGTTATGGACTCTGGTGAATTGCGGTATAAATTCAAAAAACACTACACACATTTTTGGGATTTATTTATGTTGTTTTTAAATTTTATATATCTCAAATCAATTCAAGGAAGAAGAAATTATTTATATAAACCGCTGTAGCACTAAAGCAAATATATTTAATAATTTTTGTTATCGTATGCAGCTATAGTTTTCTCAGTTTAACATTAGGGTGTAAGTTAGTAGTTTCTGGACCCCCTGTGGCTCGGGGGGGCTTAGAATACGGCCACGGTATCCCCTGCCTGTCGTAAGAGGCGACTAAAAGGGGACACACACACACAGAGGGATTGAAACAAGAGTTGTAAAAGTATGGAAGGAAGGAAACAGAAGCAAAAGTATGGCAAAATAGAGAGATGAAATTTAATAATGTACCAACCCATCCCCGAAGGCGCGTGGACGATAGTGTTCGGTGGGCAACAAGGGGGCAGAAAAGCCCCCAAAAAACGCCAGCCCCTGTAAGGGCGAAATTCGTGATAGTGATCAGGGTTGGGTCATTCGAGTGTATTCTAGGGTTTTTTACATTTTACAGTATTTTACGGTAAGATACGTTAAAAACGTATAATACCAGATTTGCGCCATTTGCGATTAAACTCAAAATAAAGAAATAATCACAGGATAGCCTTAATTTATCTAAAAAGATGTATTTGTGTTACAGAATACAGAATATAGACCCGAAAAAATGAACTCCTCTACTAATAAAAATACTGGTGTAAGTAATCGTTGTTCATGATTGGAAAAATGATTTTTTGAGAATATTTACTGACAGTATGTTAAATAAAATATACTTACAATTAGATTATATTTAGATATAATGAAATTTGTTAATAATAAGAGAAAATATGAAATATATTTATGTTTACGGTTATAGCTGTTGAGCAACTGAAAGTCGATATTACGTTAGTAAGAATTTATTTCTCATTCAGGCCAATTAAAGGTGTACAATTATGTAGTGAATAGCGGAATTATAGTTTCACTTTCATAGCTGGTAATTCTAACGCGAGACTAAGGCTGAAAGTTTCAAAGCTTTGCAATTAGCACAAGGAAACATACTAAAAATATTATAAATTATTTATTACACGAAATGGCATTAAACACATTTATTGCTAATAATAAGAAAGGATATTACGAGTTTCTTAATCCTTGAACAAAGTTATGAAACATATACAAGGATATTAATTTAAAATTAAATGTATAATTCTAAACGCAAGAGATTGTCTAGATCGACAACAAAAAGCGATGAAAACGCTACAAACATCAATTGAATTATTTAAACAAGACACTTCGAGAGAAATCTTCAACTTGTGCAACGAACCGACGTAAAAACGTTTTGCTCCATATAATGCGAAGCCCTATGTTGATCAGAATTCCAAATCTCAAGATTTAAAAATTCTAGAATTCCAAAATTCTAAAATGTTCAAATGCTAAAGTTTCAGGAACCAAAATTTCCAAATTCTGAGATCCTAACATCATCCCCCAACGTCTTATACTTTATTCCATAAAAACCGCTAATGCCATACTTTCCACCTATTTTATAAACACCCTAATTAAACTCTAAAAGGATTAAAGAAGAGACCACCCCATCGACAAAAGATTGTCGATAAATCATTTAACGCAAGGATTCATCGATGAGGGGAATCAAAGGGAAAGGGTGATGGGAATAGTCGCGATGGTGGGGGGAGACATCGAGCGCCGGAGGGGCAAGCGCGCGCGGCACGCGGTGGTGGGGGGAGTCGGAGGGCAAATGGAAAGTCTGACTCTGACCCGCTGGCAGTCTCGTTGATCCAGCCACGGGTAGTATGCGCCGGTGACGTGACAATGGCGGTACTTGTAATTGCGGTACGGTGCGTTATTGTGATCAGCTGATCAACCGAGCTTGTCAGTGGTGCCGGAAGTGTCCGATTCTAAGGACACGCGAATCGAATAAATAATTCGAAGAGCAGAGGCTCCGAATCGACGTTTCGTCTCGCATCGTCGTTCGCGAAAGAGAAATTCGTGAAAAGAAAAGAAAATTCCATTTCGGGAGATATGTCGTGGTCGCGCTCGTGATCCTCTTTCGTTCGTCAGGCGTCGGTGTTATCCTTCGCTTTTTTTCTGTGAATATTGTGTTTTGCCATTTTCGCGGCTGTGTTGTGTGCACGTATGCGTGAGATTCGCACGAGAGATAGATAAATGTGTGTTAGCCATGCCTGCCGTGCGGAAATACAGAAGGGATACCAGTGAAGTGAGCTGCTGTCTCAAGTATGTGATCTTTGGATTTAATGTCATGTTTTGGGTGAGTGGTCACACGCTTATTGTACAATTTTGACCGGCATTTAAGGTGTTTGTATCCCTAAATAATCTAGTTAAATTTTCAAAATACTAACCCAGAAGATAACGAAGATAACAATAAAATAAACAAAAGGTACATTTTTAGTTATAATTCAAAAATGGCACTTTCAATTTTCTTCAAAATTTAGAGGATTATAGAAGGATATATTATAAATGATTTATAATAAAAATGGAAATTATTTATTGCATAGTTTCAGAAATAAAATCAAGGACATTCAATATTTATTTTATGTTATTTAGGTGTTTTAGTGAATTTATATCATAATGTTTCGTAAAATTAGTTTAACTGGTTTACCAATGTTCTGATTTTTGAATTTGACTTAGGTGATATAAACACCCTAATTGCGCGGTTACGCGCCAAAGGCGAGCCTTTGAACGCCTAATAACTAATGTTTTGTTACGTTTAACGTATCAACACGTTGACTGCCTTGCGGGTTATTTGTGAATTTAATGTGTTTAAATAATTTAATTGAAAACAAATTACAGAATTGAATGAGAATGTGTATCTTACTACGTTTATTTTAAGGGTGGCAGTCAACGTGTTAAGATAATTAACCTTTAACTATTGTTTTATAACATTTATTATAAAACGTACCTGGGGATTCGTTTTCCATATTTGTAATAATTTTTTTTTTTAATATCCAGTTATTTACCGGGGCAGATAAAAATTCGCTTCAAATTTAATCTTTATAATTCCAGGATTATAGCACACGGTGTTGTTGAAATTATTAAATCTGTGTGTAACGAAATACACTGTTCTATTTGAAACGCAATATTTTCCACATTTCTGAAAATATTTGAATTAAATTTTCATTGAGTTGCTGGCTGTAATTTTCTACATTTTCACGTGGAAAATTACATTTGAAATTTGAGGTTTAGAATTTTAAAAACCACAAACCAAAAATCAAATTAACACAGAATTAAAATTCGCAGGAATTTTATTTATTATAATTAATTTTCTTTATTACAATCCAGGCTTCGCTGTTCAAGGGTTAATTCTCAAACTTTTATTAGAATAAAATTTTAGTATTTAAATTCTTTAATTATTAAATACAGGCTTTGCATTTAAATTCCCTAACTATGTAAATATAATTCTCTGCTCCAGAATACTAAATAATTCACAAACTTAGGTATATTAGAATAAAATCTTAGCCTCTAAATTACGTAATTATTAAAGAAAAACTTGTAATAATTTTAATTCGTGAATTTAAATTCGAATAGAATGTTATTTAATTTATCAAGTAATATCAGAATTAAATCTGATCGTAAATTTCAATGTTTCAATGTTTTTATTAATTTATTTTCATTCATTAATTTATAAATAATAGGATGAAATTTTAATACTTCAATTCCTCAATTATTTATATAAATCCTCTCCAAATCTTGTATCGATTTCCACGATTACAATTCATGAATCTATATTAAAACAGAATTTCAGTACCAAATTATTTAACCCTTGAACTGCAGAGACTGGGTTAATCGAGACCCAAATTTACCTACATCGGAGTTTCATATATGAGAACGTGTTTGAATTTAAATTCAGATTTAAATTTCCAAAATTTTGTATCGATTTTCGTAATTTGTTCGACGGTATTCGAGGGAGGGGATAGGTCGCAATTGATTGAATTTATGATTCCGTGCAGCAGCGGTATACTTTTGTGAGGAACACCGCGAATGACCTGTATGCAGTTCGTGTGTGTCGCGAAGTGTTCCAATTGCAAGAACCACGATGCAGTTGGTGCATGTGCGTCACGGTCTGTATACCCTATAACGATACACATAGGGAATACCCATATACGAGTCGTTCCGAGTTAAAAAGCATGCAAATCGCTGAACTTTTCCTGCAGCTAGTTGCGAATCGCAAAATCCGAGTGCTTTTTCAAATTTTCCCTGCCGGATGCCGTCGTTAATAAGCAGCTGCATAATTCCAAAATTTCATTTCGCACTTCGTGCTAATTACGCGTTGATGAAATTTATTATTAGTCACGTCGGGTGGCATCATTTCAGATTTGGATATTTATTTTATTTATCCATGTATATCGTGTTAATGTTTACACGCTCGCGGCGAGACCTCGCGAAACGTTGTAACGTCGTGTTCCAGCCTTATTTTGTATTCATCGAAGTGTGACGTTCTGTTCCTTCAGAATGTTCGAAGGCCGGTAAGCAACGTGTTAAAAACTTGTATATACATACGTATAACGTTCCGAAGCTGGAGAAGGATATTTTAATGACTCGTCAAGGATACAGTGGGGACACTGCACTCGTTGCTTTCTCAGAAACAGTTGAATGTCCTTCACCTTGGTGAACGGACGTTCGATAATGAATCATTCTCCTTATAGAGGATATGGGTTAACGAAAGAAATTTTTAAACAAATAGAAAAAGTGGACATATATGGTAAAGTACATTACAAAAATTTGGGGACTGTTACTGAGAAATAAAATTTTTTTTTAAATATAAGATTTTAACTTAGCGGTGACCTCAAATCAATTTTTTTGAAGAAGATACTATTCTTTAGTAGTGATCTAATCCTACTAAAAAAAATTTTAAATAAAAGATTTCTATATATTTAAAGAAAATAAAATTTATAAAATATGATTGGAACTCTGGCTCGATTCCGGCATTTGAGGGTTAAAGGAAAAGGATAATGGAGAAAGTAGATAAGGTAGTGACCAGACGTGGAACGAACATTCTATTTCCTACTCTTCAGACAAGGTACACGTGTTACCAATAGCAATCCTTGTACACTCTCTATGGTTGACACGCTTTTACTACCAGGCCCACGTTACGTCTGTTGCATTACGTGTACGCATGTACACGCGATATTATTCCTGCGTATTCAACCATGTGGTCACGAACCCGATGTCGATACTGTTCTTCATGAAAACGTCGGCTGGATTTTATCCTCGTCACTTCCTTCGCCGTGGTCCGTTGTTCTTCTTCGTACTCGGTCTCCCAGTCGATCCCTGGCACTGTTTGAGGAATCTCATTACAAAAGTTGCCTGTAAAACCGGTTTCTAACCAGTGCAACCGGCCACCATGGCATAGGTTCATTTTACTTCATGTAGGTGTGACTTCTTTTCACTACCCTCTACGATGGGGTGCATTTTTGGACACCATGGATGGGCGTAACTGAGATTTTTAGTACATTTGCATCGAATATGCCCTGTAAATTTTCTGATAGAATTCTCGACCCACCCGGTATATTACGGTGACCAATGGATCAATATTCCTTGTTCATGGGGAGAAACTCAATATCTTGACGGAATAAACATGCAATTAATTCTGTCCAAGATTCGTTAACAACCATATTTAAGATGATTGATCAAATTATTGGAGCGAACTGCATAATTGACTTTATTGTTACATTTTTACTACATTTTTATGATTATATTTTATTGGTGGTTTTAAATTCTTTGATTTATTGATTAATTTAATGGAAAAGTAAAAGGGCACCAGAGTTGAGCATTATTTAATTAAAATGAAGTTGATTAAATTATTTTTATAAAAGGTTATTCATTATTTTTAAATAATTTCCTGTCATTTATCATTTTTACATTTTTCATTTATTATTTGTCAATTAAAATATTAATTATGTATTGTTCGTTATTTACAAATTATCTCAAACTCTGCGTCATAAAATGTCATTTAAATGAATTTATTTCGCAAATTCCACCCATGATTGACAGTTAATAAGAATACAGTGACCCACATCTTTGTTCACATGAAAATTTTATTTGTTAATTAAAATAATATTTTATCGATTTAATGATATACCGTATAAAATATGGTCTCTACATTTTTCTGAAAATTTGCAAACATGTGAATCACTGTATGAATTCTTTATCATTGCCTGGAGGAATTAATTTTTGTGAAATATCATTAAACTTTTGATTAGAAAGTTGAGATTCAAATATCCTGGAAAGTTTAATTGGAGATAACTGTACCAAAAGGAATGCAGTTATCTAAAAAGCCTCAAGGAAATTTAGGTCTCGTAGAATATGCCACTAGCAGTGCACGAACAACCGCATGAAATCTTCAAAAAGTCTTCAAACAAGCATAACGACTCGTTTTATGCCCCTCAAAGAAATTTAAACAAAGAAATAGCTTGCATATTTCGCAAAGATTAAATTTATAATAGCATATTATAACTATATGTCTCTGTAGTAGCTCTAATCAAATGTAAAGATTTAGAGTTAACTTTTATTTATAATAATTTTTCATCATCAAAAATCATGGTGATTATTAATTATTACTTTGAACACCCTATATACTACAGAACAGTCCTTAATTCACAGTGGGTATCTCCCAGATACTCATATATGGATTAACAGTCGTGAAAGGGTTAAAATGAAATATGAATCTCTCGAGTGGAGCATTAGAACAAACCGTGTCGTCGATTCGCTTTCTAATCATTACATAACCGATGTCACAAGTGCTGTAACGATCTAATGGTCATCTAACACTCGTGTGTGATGTATAAAAAAACTATTCAATTTTTGTTTGGTGTGATGCATTCCTAGATAAAGCAGCACCTGCTTGAAATAGAAAATCAAAATATTCAGACTATTTCCTTGATCGTGTTAAATAATACTGCAATTTTATATTAATTAAAATATTTATTTGATATCACAAATTTTCAATTGATATTTCAATTATACAATTTCCTGTATGAATTTATAATTATTCGTTGAAATAAATATTTCTCTCGTTTCAATATTATTTCCATCAAGGTCTGATTTAATCACGAGTGCACTTACATTAACACACAGAGAGCAATAATCGTGAAAATGTAGAATAGATACTGGGTCAAAATGATGCTGAATTCGTCAAATAAATCTTCAAGTATTATCCTATTTAGGATCCCAGAAATATTTCAATAACCATTTCCAATCATTTTTGCTCAAAATATACTCAGTCGTTATATAATGGTACAGCAATTATTA